ATTACATTTTTCCATTAGTTTAACTGCTGCATCTAGAGAGTCGGTTGGAAGAGATGGAGCTGGAGAATGGAGCTGCCCAGGCTCACAGCTCTCTTGTCAACGCTGGCACTGCAAGCTGGCACACCAGCCACAGTTACTAAAATGTGGAACTACCCCTCTCGTTTTAGGGAGCAATCTAGTTAAACTTTGCTTGGAGGGAAAATTTATGAAACTATCCTTTGACATGTCTATGCCTCATACCACTTTTACATTCTCATGGCCAGTGTCTACTTTCTTCTCACTGCATTTATTTGAGTAGTATCACGTCTCTTGAAAATGACAGATGACCTAACACGCTTAAAAAGAAGGGATAGTCATTTCATCAGAGAGATGTATCTTCCCTACTCACTGAAGAAAGTGAAAGGGACAAGATGGTCCATGAAAAATGTCTTCTTTTCCAGTGGAGAAGCTGTCACTTATCTCTCTTTCTGCACTGAAGTTGATTTAAACTCTTACTGAAGTCCAAGTACTGGTGACACTGTAACTTACTGTGTTGTAGACTACTGGTGAGTGAAAGTACAAAACAAAGTCACAGTCTTGGATCTCTGAGTTCATACATACTTAAAGAAAACTTGTCTAGGTGTAAGACCAATCGTAAAGGATTTACCAAAGAGTGAAATTGTAATGGAGGCACAAAACTTAATTATATCAAGAATGCGTACATGGGCAACTGATAACAGTTGATGAGTCAGTCTCAGTGTGGTTGCCATCGCTTTTGTATGCATCATAGCTTCTTGGTGACAGCTGTCACAACCTTACATACAGAAATATGCATCTCCTGAAATATCATTGGGTTTTACTCATTCTCAAACAGAATTTTTTTGCTGAAAATGACAGGAGAGAGAAAAAATTATTATTGATCTGTCATAGATAGGTCCTGAGAAATTCTTCATATGTTCATCTAGAGTCCCTGTGACTTCCTTACATTGTGTGTCAATGTGTGTAATTGATTAATATTGAGTTGATCGTCTTTTAATTGTTCATATTTAATTTTTATTTTTCCCTTTTTTCTGTTAAAAGACTGGAGTAACACATCTGGACGTCTGTAACCTTGGAATTTATTTGACAACCAAACTAAGCTACAGCGGTTTTCAGCTGTAGAAATGTTTCATTTTTTCTCTCTGTATGCATTTACATGAGGTGCTCAGATTGAATCCAAGCAACTGTGATCTACCACAAAGATATCCCAAAACTGATTCTTCTTATTGAAAAAGATATTTGATGCCATTTGAGAAACTGTCATTTAAAGGAATTTTCTTTAGAAGATTATACAACGAGTAACAGAGCCAGAAGTCAAGATTTAAATCTAACTCTTATTTTGTTGGTTCTAAATTCTTTGTAGATTAACTTCACTGTGAGACTGGGATATTTAAATGGTGCTATAAGACATTCACAAAATGCCACCTAGTCTGATAGGCTCTTTTGACCTATAAGTTTTGCGGCAGTATACATATACGCACACGGTAAAGTCCTAAGAAAGTCAAACTGCTTAGTGCCTGTTTTACGGCTGGACTCTATCAAGATTTGGTAGCTAATCATAACCTTTCCCACTTGTAGCATGCTCAGATTGTGTCTAGCTTTGCTTAAGGCTCAGGCAAGGAGCAAATGACTGCCTCCCTTTCTCCACCGTGTCAGACTTTCACCCAGGTTGCAGGAAGGGCAACTCTGGGAGACTCATAAAGGATGCGAAATGACATCCTTACCTTACAGTAAGTCTCTTGATCTGTAGCCCTTAAAGTGTTCAGAGATGAGCGCTCTCATTTTGGTTGTGCTCCCCTACCTTTCTGCCACGATAAATTGAGCAAAAGACCAGCAGCTCACTGACATAATTTTCAGGGAAGAGTTATGCTCCTAGGAGGTGCTTCACATAGGGCAACTTTCAGTGCTGTCAGATAGCCACAGAACGGAGATCTTCAGCTTAAGAGAGCTCACTCATCTTGTCTTGGATAGCCTGTAGTTTTGCTCTGAGAACGTGTTAGGTTAACGTCTTCTAAATAGGAATGTAAAGGCTATTTCTGTTTATTGTGCCAGATTGCACCAGACTAGCTTGCAGGACAGCAGCTCTTCCTGACTGCATTCACTTGAAGAATGGGGACTAACTGCAACTGGAAGTTTTACTACTAGTATATACATGTTCATGTTAAAAGGAAGTGTGGTGATTACTGAGCTTGCCTAGCAATAATAAGGATAAGAAACCTAGACTTGCTGAAGTCAGCAAACCTCTTTAAAGCTAAAGTGTTTGAATGCTAAGTGCTTGCTTCCTAGTGACTAGCAACTTCAGAAAGAACCTTCCCACTACTACAGGACAGAGAGTTCCTTGCAGTCGTGTTCGTAAACAGTCTGGAGTTTTAGAGCTAGCAAATCAAGGGTTTATATTTGTTGGTTTTTTGTTGTTTTTTTAAAGGAACTGATTGAAATTCAAAGGGCTGCCTCATAAGGGTTGAGCTTATGAAGGCAGTGTGTAAACGTGCTAAGGATAATATATAGGTACATTATGGGATCTGGCATGGTTTAACAAGTGTTTTAACATACAGTGGAGAGAATGGTCTTGGGAGAACTGGGGAACAAAGTTTTAAATAAACTTGTCTAAAATGTCTTATCTGGTACTTGGGGAAAGACGGGAAGAACTAATTTGTTATTTTTTTTTGATGCAAAAACCAAACTGATAACGTACTTACTGGAAAACCAGGGGATTTTGACTGGTGAATGAGAATTTTGAGCTGGTAACCAGGAATAATATCAAGATTTCTGTTGGACTTGCTTTTTATTCAGTTATAATAGTCTAAAGCAGAATGCAGTTCTTTTAGTGCAGCCAAATAACTAAGGAAAAGACTCTATCAGAACTGACTCTTAATATTGATGGGTAAGTCACTGCTGGAGTTACTTTGAATTTTTCTTTCCTAAGAGATTTATTTTTCTGCTGTATGGTTCTTTTTACAGTATGGTTTTTAAATATGAAAGTAGCACTATCCAATTAAGTGATTACAAAATATAGTGTGATATTTTCTAGAACAGGCTTAAACTGCATGTGCAGGTGTACAACATTACAGTGCTAGAAATATCACACCTATTTTCAGATTTTGGCTTCTTAGTTTAATGCACTTAACCTTATTTTGGCTTCATCTGCAAAGTCTCATCACGTAGTAATTTTTTTTGTCAGGAGATTTCTGTGTTACGATGTTTCTGCCAGAAATGTGGGTTTGTCATTTAGATATTGTCCTTGAATTTGTTCTGGATTTCTTTGTCCTATCCAGTTCCCGTATCCTTGAATTCAAATGTCTTTTAAAGTACTTTAGGTTTTTATGAAATTACAACAGAAGTCAACCTTGTGTGGGGAACGAGCCGTTTTTCATTAGGAAGAAAAATATTGTTAATTCTTATACTCCTTTAATTTTACTTGCTTTATCCTTGCAGGTTTTAGTGTATTCGCTTCACAAAGAGAAAGCACGTAGAAACTTATCTTGCAGCGTCAGCTAAAAGTGCTTTGTTTGTTCTGTATCTTGCTGTCTTTGTATTCAGATAAGCTTTATTAGTTCAGAGACATTTAGTTTGTGTGGATTAATAAAATTCAGGAAAGGAATTTTCAGTGAATCTTGAAAGCAAATCAGAGTACGAATCAGACTTACTTAGATGCAGAGAGTGTTCTAAGAAGAAACATTACCTTATGTTGATGATAATCAGATGTATATTGTCCTCCAGTTTATTACAGAGCAAATCTCAGCATTTTACAGTTAGTGTTCTTTAAGAAGAATATTACAAAACTTGACGATCTTGTTTTTACAGACAAAGCTGTAAGAACACCCTAGTGTCTCAGTGTCATCCAATGAGATGTTGCTTTGTTGCTGGCATAAGGAGTTATTGGGCAGCTGTGGAAAAGTGGAATAGACTAAGCCTGTGCTCTGCTGCAACATCTGCATTTAAATTTGTGGGGATCAAGTTGCAGGGGGAATTTTTTTTAAAAAAAAAAACTACAGAAAAATTTGCCACTGGCCTATGTAGACTCCAGGACATTAAAAAAAAAAATAAAATGTATTTATTCAGGTTTTTTTCTTTGCAAGTCTTTATTTTGTAATTTGAGTCTGCTAATTTAATTATAATTTTAATAAATTCTTATGCAACAAAATAGGTTATTTTGTTTCCTGTAAAATACCAACAAGTTTAATCTTTGTAGGGTGTAAAGCTGAACCGGGTTTCATGGAACAGAAAGAGCCTTAGGTATGTCTACAGGAGGAGCGCAGAAAGCCGCAAGTTGCTGTACCTACCCCATGAGCTGCTTTGCATTGAGTCAGCTCCACTCCAGGGTTACGTGCTGTGCTTTTGCACAGATTTACTCACACACTAACGCAGCAAAGCTTCCAGTCCAGAAGTAACGCAGAACCAACTGTGAGATGGGGCAGAGCAAGCTCATGACTCTTTGCCCCCACACATGTGCATGTATAGACCTAACCCTAAAATATAGGTGGGAATTGCTAGATGATTAAGCAGTAGGATGATGAGTGAAAATTCAGTTGCCTTTCAAATGCAAAGTGAAATACATCGGAAGGAATAATTTGAAACATTCATGCACGTTAGTAGGTTCTGAGCTAACAGGAAAAAAACAAGATAGGAATGTGAACAGCTGAAAATTTCTGTTCAACATCTATCATTAGTTAAAAAACCCATGTGAAGATGCATAAAGAATACGAAGGAAGATAAGGTGTTCAGCAGACACAAAACTGAGTCTTACAGACTCAGCTGCAAAGCAGGGTTCTTAATACTCTATAGTGTTTGTTCAGCACTGTAATGAAGATAGAATATGTTTACCAGTATTTCTTTGTGTTTTAAGACTAAGAAATTAGACCAACTAAGCTTAGAAGTTGCATGGACAACTTAATTTTTTGGTGTGTTTAATTCTTCCCATTAGAAATACCATTCACACAAAGCATGAAGAAATTAATGACTGTGTATTTTCTCCTCCACAGAACCTGAAGCGAGTGGCAGAGACATGGATGGATGAGTTTGCAGAGTACATTTACCAGCGACGGCCTGAGTACAGGCATCTCTCAACTGGTGATATCTCCGCCCAGAAGGAACTTCGCAAGCACCTTAAATGTAAAGATTTCAAGTGGTTCATGGCTGCTGTGGCTTGGGATGTCCCCAAATATTACCCTCCTGTAGAGCCTCCACCTGCTGCCTGGGGAGAGGTGAGGAATACACAAATTAGATAGTATTAAAATGAGTCTAACATTTTACATTGCAGTAAATTAAAATTATTAAATTAGATTTGGCTCCTGTGATAAGTAGTGTTATTAAGGGAGCTCACAGTGATTGGAACAATCCTTAGACTAGCCATTAAAATGAGAAACTATCGTGTCTTAGAATTATTGCTGTCCCTTTTATATGTATACAATTTTGTGTGTACAGGCCCTAAAATGCATGTACAATAAGGACAAGAATGTGGAACAGAGTGTGTAGTACTAATTGTCCCATGTCACAAGATGATTTGAGATGCTGAAAATTACTTAGTAAAAAGAAGGTCTGAAGTCAATACTTTTTTTTTTTTTCCCCCCCTATATCCATTTATAGACCTCCTCCGGTCCTTCTCAAGGACTAATTTATGCAGGTGGACCTAGATTTGCTCTGTTTTGCTCACATGTGCAAGTGTAACAAACGAAGCCTAGATACTTTCTTTTAAAAAGACTGGTTTTGCTCAGCTTGTGGTCTGCATTCTGTAGGTGCTGTCATGATCGGTAGCAGATTAAGTGTAGTTTCATGTTTGGTGAGTGAGGGGAGAGAGAGACTGCCAAAGAGAAGCCAATATCTGAGCATCACTTCAGAGCAGGGAGTGAGCAAAGAGCCTGCTGGAACCCTCCACCCATGGTGTTCCAAGATGTTCTGCATTCAGACCTCTCTGAAAAGCAGAGCTGTAACACACCTTGTTTTGACTGTTTTGTGTGGAAGAAATGAGAACACAAAGAGCACAGGAACAGGAAATTACTTCTCTAGCTGCACTGACAAATTGCAGTGGCCTTTTACCCCTAGGAACTACAGTGGATTTTCACTCCATGGAAAGGTGGCACGCTGTAGTGGTTTGACCCTGGCCAGCAGCCAAGTGCCCACCCAGCCACTTTGTCACCCCCCCCTTCTCTGCTACACAGGGGGAGAAAATATATCGAAGGGCCTGTGGTTTGAGATAAGGACAGGGAGTCACCCAACTCTATTGTCCCAGGCAAAACAGACTTGATTTTGGGGAAATTAGTTAAATTTATTAAAGAACAAATCAGAGAAGAGTAGTGAGAGGTAAAAACAGATCTAAAAAAAAAAAAATACCACATCTTCTTCGCATCCCTACCTTCCTCCTGGGCAAAACATCAATCCCAGTTTATCCACCTCCTCCCTCTGAGGGAATGGAGGTTATGGCCAGTTCATCCGATGTTGTTTCCACCACTGCTTCTTCCTCCGGGACAGGACTCCTCACTCTTCACCTGGGCCACTCTGGGATCCCTCTCACGGGAGACAAGCTTCACACACCTTTCTCCAATGTGAGAAATTCATCACAAACTGCCCAACATGAGTCCTCTCATCTGCCCCAATGTGAGTCTGAGGTGCAGTCCTTCAGGGGAAACTGCTCCAGTGCGAGTACCCCGTGGCGTCACAAAAGTCCTGCCAATCTGCTCCAGTGTGGGCTTCCCTCTTTCCACAGGCTACAGGCTCTGGCAGCAACCTGCTCCAGCATGAGCTTCCCACAGGGTCACAGCCTCCTTCAGGCATCCACCTGCTCTGACATGGGGTTCTCCATGGGCTGCAGGTGGACATCTACACCCCATCACCTCCATGGGCTGCAGAAGAACAGCCTGCCTCACCATGGGCTTCACCACGGCCCAGTGGAGTCTTTGCTCCGGCGCCTGGAGCACATCCTCCCCCCCTGCTTCTTCACTGACCTTGGTGTCTTCACATATGCTCACTCGTCTGTCTCTCTGCCAGTTGTTGTGTGGCGCAGTTCTTTTTTACCCCGTTTCTTAAATATGTTTTCACAGAGGCGTTCCTATCCTGTCATTACTGACAGACTCAGCCTTGGCCAGTGGCAGGTCCATCTTTGGAGCCAGCTGGCAATGGCTCTATCAGACCTAGGGGTCTAGCAGCTTCTTGCAGAAGCAACCCCTACAGGCCCCCGTCCCTGCCACCGAAATCTGGCCAGGCAAACCCAATACCCATGCAGAGAGCTTTTTCCTCAGTTCGTGGCAGGGGGGTTGGTGCTAGATGATCTTTAAGGTCCCTTCCAACTCAAACCGTTCTATGATTTATAATGAAGACTTCGTGCTTTCCATGTACTGTGCTACCTTTTCAAAAAGCGTAGGTATATCAGTACTGTGAGTTCTGGCCTTCTCTGATTTTGCTGGAGATGCTCTTGGGGCTCTCAGACAATTACCTGTTATATCTGAAACCAAAGGGTGAAGCTGAAAATTTCACCAAAACTTTTGGTAAGACCCCTCACACCCCTACGTATTCCCAGTGGTCCAGGCTGGACCATCACAGGGAATTTCTAAATATAGGAGCCTCTACTATTATTCAGAATTTCTTTTGTAAAACATAGATTACCTCACTGCAAAACTTTAAAGTAACTTTCTGTAGTAGTATACCTAAAATCTTCTTTGTAACCTATCAGTTACAGATGTTCAAAGCAACTTTATTTTATATGTGTCTTACTGTTTGCTACTTCTAGGCAATAATGAATTCCTTTGTGGTTAAAGTTTCCTCTGTCTTCGATACTGCTGTCCATGCTTTATGGGATTAATGTATACCTAGAGGTAAGGAGTTTATCAGTAGAAGTCAGGCTGGATTGGGGTGTTGTGACTGCTACTATGATCTTCCTTCACCATCTTTCACGTGTATACATGTGCGTCCTTGGAGGACTGTGATCGTGAGATGTGTAATTTCTCTGTCTAGCTGAACAATTCTTAACTCAATAAGAGTGTCTGAATGGAAAAGACTGTGATTTGGGTATTCAATTTTTTCACAGTAATATGAATACACTCTTTGCTTAAAAGCAAGACTTCTAAAGAGTAATTTGAAGATCATAGCAGTCTTATCAAATCTATACATTAAAAGCAAGTATTGAGTTCTTAGGAAGAAAGTGAAGACCAAAGGCTTTCTTTTTCCTCTAAAATATACTTTCTCTAAAATAACAAGAAAAGAAGTTTCAGCCCTATTACTCTATTTTTTTTCCCTGAGACTGTCACATTCCTGTGAAGTTTTAATTAATTTGTTGGCACTTGCAGGGAACTTGAACAAACTTGGAGGTCAATGGTTGTCATAATTAGAAGCTGAAAGAGGAAAACAGACTGTGTTATTGCTTTGCAAGAATCAAGCAGCTCTAGAAACCTTGCTGATTATACATATCAGAAGTCTGTGCCAAGACTGACTGTTGTTTAGTACCCTCTCTGCTTCCCCTTGGAAAGACTTTACATCTTCTTGGCTGTGCCAGTCTGAGAAAGAATAAACAATGGGGTACTCAGACAATTTTTGCCTCCAGTATTTTGATACCTGGCTAGTAAAAGTGTGTGGTGTGAAAGCAGACGTCTCATAAACAGCCTCTGTACAACTCCTTTTTGGCAAACACATTTATTTAAAATCTGACTCTTGTATTTCTCAACAAAATGGGTTCATGCTGGAAAAGAAGGAAGTTTGAAAAACAAAGAACAATCTTCTCTACACTCGTCACGGCCTTATCTCTTCTGAGTGCTTCTGCCTTTTGTCCTTTGTAGCTGGCAGGGTGTATATTCCCTTGATATTCTAATCTGCCTTGTAACATTGGAAATATGTGCAGTAGAGCAAAGTAACAATGAATCCAGACAGATTAAGGTTAGTGAGACTGTCAGTTCTGTGTCTGGGTAAGATTACTGTACTCTTTCCTCTCACACTGTGGGGGAAAAAAAAGGAAGTGTTCAATTAGGTTTTGTTCTTATCCTCCCAAATATATTGGAAAGTATGCTACCAGTTGAAAACCAGAAATATACATCCCATTTTCTTTCTAAGGCAGAATAATTTATTTGTAATGTGTATTTGAAATCCTGTTGAAGAAAGTTAAAACAATAGCTGCATTAGGTGAGATTTAGACACCAAATGTTTTCCTAGGGAGTATTCATGAATTCACAAGCTGTGATCCAGCATGAATATATTATGTGGATATCACAGCTTCCAACAATATCTTTGAAGGCACATTTTACAGTAAATCAATCATATAATGTCATCCATTGTCATTTATTTTAGACTTCATGGGGCCTGTAGTCAAGGTGATATAAAAAAAATAATTTGCTTTACTGAGTCAAAAGGGAAATATTTAAGCCTGGCTTCATTTGCTGTTACACAAACTTGTTATTCAATGATTTAATACACATCAAGTCTCTCAGCCACTGCTGCAGTGCTAGGCTGTAGGACCCGCAAAATACTCCTTTCTCAAGTCCCAAACTCATGGATTTTACAGAACTGTTTTACAGCCCTGACATGAAAATGTCACCCATGCAGTTAAGTCAAGTAGCACGTTTGAAAAAGGATTAAAGCCTACGAACCCTCTAACTTCTCCTTTGATTGCTTTCTTTTTGAAAATGTCATCCTCATACCCTTAATGAGTCAATCTCAGCCCACCAAGCATCACACGTCTGTTACAAACCGTTCCCCATCCTGCACAGACCGAGTGCTGCGCAGCTGGGCTCTTCAGATTCTTTCATCGGGATTAGCATCGCACAGAATAACACAGTCACCACTTTCTTCAGTGAGGTCTTTGGCAATGCTTAACTTCTAACCTAGACTTTTCCTCTTTTATGGCTTACACAAAGGATAAATACTTCTTTAAATTGCTATGTATCGATTGACAGAAAAGACAGCTCATTTTTCCATATTTGATCTGCAGACGTTGATGGCCCTAGGGTTATCTGAAAATGTAAGCAGTGCACTAAGCCCAGCTTTAAGCGCTGCTCAGATGAAAAAACCAACATAAATGAACGTTGCTAATGTCTTCTAAGATCTACAGCCACTTTCTCATTTGAGGCATTAAATCAGAGGTATGGAAAGTATTATATAAACTGATAGCACTGAGGTGCGTCTCTTGTCGCTGGGTTGGGACACCCTAAGGACAATCCCAGCACCATCTCCCCATTCATCATTAAAGCAGATGACTGTACTGAACATAAACTTCTTTAGAGTGTTATGCGTTCCTGCTTTTTGTGCTGTGATGGGTATGCAGGGTAGCTCCCAGAACCCCTGGGAGGACCTCTCACCTCCCTGGCTCAACCTTTGTTGTCCCCAGGAAGGGGAAGTGTCCCTGGGTGACAGCCTGGCTCCAGTGAAGGCAGGGCAAAGCCATCACCCACTACCTTGACAGCAAATCTTGCAGGAAATCTTTTGCCTGTGAAAAAAGTTGTAGCATTTTAGAATTATCAGAAAATATTGGTAAATATAACCACTGGGTCCTGGGAAACTAAAATTTCCCTCTAATTTCTTTTTCAGCTAAAATATATTCCCTTGAAAGGAAGGGGGAAATTTACTTTGCTTTATAGCATAGGGACGTGGAGGGAGGTTGTCTTGGTTTTTTTGTCCATTTAACTTAGAGCATGCTAGTGTGTCCATTACACAGCTCCCACCAAAATGTTGAAAAACCTCAAAATTAATCCTAGCAGGCTGTATCAATGGCCTGCAACCCTTCCTTTTCCTCACAAGACTGCCATTTTTCTGACAAGAAGATTATCATGGGAATCAACACATCTACTTCTTTCCAGTTTCCGTTCTGTGCTTGCATACAAGTGCTATGGTTTTGAGAGTATAATGTTAGACCACCTAATTTGCCTCTCCCATAAGGAGCTTATTAAATCATCTAACTGTTAGCTTTCTGCAAACATTAATTTAACCAGAGGTCAAGTTATCTGGGAGACCATATATTCTGCAATATGTAAACACTCTTAGGGAGTCCCTGATTTTTATTTTTCTGTGTGTCTTTTTGCTTTCTTGATAGCTGTTCAAAAATATCTTTTTTTTTTCTTCCTTGAATACCTGTCTATCAAATTGGCAGCTTCAAATGTCTAGAGGTAACAGTGTCTTAATTTCAGGCCTTCTATCCTCCTGTGTTCCTGCTCCTATTTTACATCACATTTCCCTTTCACCATCTCAGTGCCAGAGAGCTAAGCTAATTTTTTTCGAGGCCTAGCCTACTGTGGAGAAAAGTCTCCTTAACACGGACTGGCTAGCTTAGAGAAAGCAAGCTGTAGTTTTAACCTAAGTTCACTGCTCTGTGTAAAATCCAAAGATTACTTTATCTAGGCTTACCCAGTGATTTCCCCTTAAGGCTCGATACCTCATTTAAAGCACAAAAGCCAGATGCTGCACCAGCAGAATCCTGCTCAGGTGACACATCTTTGTTTCCTGAGGATCAGTGCAGCACTGAGAAGCCCGTCCATCCTGGCGTGGACACCTCCACCACAGAAGAAGGAGAAAATAGGCTCCTCAGAGTTTGTATCCTCTGTCCTTTTATGCCTCATCTGCTCTCTATAAGAACTACAGGGCCCATGGTCTTAGTATCTATGTCACAACATGTGTTAGGCTGGAATTTCAAGAACTGAATATACATAATGATTTATGGATAGCATCCTGTGCTTTCTTTGGATTGTATTTAATTTTGAAATAGTCTTTAAGAACATCGCTGATTATCCTTGTTAGCCTATACAGACTCCTCAAGAGCATGCTTATCTGTGTTTGAAAATGTGGATTGTAATTCATAACCTCAGAAATTCAAAATCCATTGCACTGTGTGACTGGAGACAAGGCAATTAAAATGCACATTGGAGTATAAATGAGAAAAAAAAAAGCCTCTCCTTGCTATGCTTCTGCTTTCCTTCCTTCATCTGTGAACGCATCTTGGGGGATTTGCAGGCCATGTGGTGCTGGTGCTCGGCAGAACGTTCCCCGTGGCTCTGGCAGCAGCACGATGGCTCAGTTCAATTTCCAGCAACTGCCAAGGCCACACAGGAACACCAGAGGACAAAAGCGCGGATGGGACTGAAATGCCTGTACTACAAAAAGAAAATGAAAAACAAACCATGACCTCTCAGCAGCTGAAAAGAAGGATAAAACAAAAAAGAAGGACGAGCTAACATGTAAGCTGCAACAAACCAGGGGAAAAACTAACTCAATGACACTTTTCAGGAGGAGAGGGAAGAGGAGAATAAAGAACAAGGATAGACAAATTCCAGCAGTGAAGGAACTAAATGTAGCTTCAGCTCAAACCTGGTCCAGAAATGCATTGAACACATTTACTGCGTAGTCCAAGTGACTGAGAATGAGATGGAGTGATGCCAGTGAGACAAAATTATGAAAGCCCTTTAATTCAGTAAGCATTCACTGGACATGGAGTGTATTCACTGTCATTTTACAAATCTGAATCACATAAATATACCCCAATTATTAATGGCAATTGTTAGCAGCTCCATTTTAATTATCTTGCGTACTCAAAGAACAGAACTGATGTATCATTTAATTTTGTAGTAGGCCAGTAATCTCTATGTATACAATGTGAATTTAAGTGCACTGAGAAATGATTGGGCACTCTAAAAAATTATACTTCAGGAAGGTATTTCACATGAAACTTTATAAATTTTAGATCTATTCTTCTCATTATTCTTTCTTGTCTCTTCTGCTGGGTGATATGAAAATGAAGACAGGGTTGTTGAGAACTGATTACCTTTCATCCTTTGTTTCAGTTAGCGTGACCCTTTGTACTGTGGGGCTGCTCAGTGCTGGATTTCTGCATCTGATTGCGTGTATGATACACTTGTGGTTTACTTCATCTATAACAATTTTTATTGTGCTGAAAAAAAAAAATGTTGCACTGAGCTTGTCCAAGTTTTAGAAGAATATTTCTCTGAGATCTACTGAAGTCTCAAAGGCTCTTGAAACCAATTGCTCAAACTGATGTCCCCCATCATTTGCCCAATCTGCTCTTTTCTAGGCTAGACAGATGTAGCTCCTAAAACCTTTCCTGAAGGTGACTTCTTTTACATTTTCTCCACTTCCATTGCCTTCCCATCTATCTAAATCCTTCATAGATCTTAGAGAATAGATTTATTCCAGTCCTCCGGAATTGGAAAAAGAGCTCTCCCATGTATTTTGCAAGTGTGAGGATTGCCCCTCCTTGCAGTGTTTTGTGCTGTGCTGGGAAGTTTTCCATCCTTTGGGTGTGTGGGGGGTGTATGCTGTGGTGGTGCTTATATTTGTCTAACGTAATGTAGCCACAACAGTGGCTTCTACGCTATTTTCCGTGGAAAAGTACAAACTCCAACTCAACCATATCTCCATTCCTAATCTAGCGTTTCTGGTTTTTAAATAAGGATCAAAGTAGCGGCCAGAATGTTGAAATAGGCACCTGCTTTCTACAGGTATAGAATACACATACGGAGTCTGTGCATGTTTCCATGCATGTACATGCACTTTAATTCTCAGTTTATGTGTATTTTGTTGATGGGTAAGTTGGGTTTTTTTTAAGAAATCCTCTTTGCTCTAGAGGTGTCTAAAGGATTTTTAAATAGCCCAGCTAAGGTACTCAAGGAGAAATATTCATGTATTTGCAAAATAAATTGGGGATTTTACTCTTTATGGTGGCAGTGGGCAACTTACTCCTTTTCAACCCAGATCTTCAACAAAAATGTATGTGGCAGCAGTGGTACATAACTGGTACGACTGTTAGTCACAGATTACTTGTTACTCAGTTGTTTCAGTCTCAAAAATGAGATTTTCCTTTTAAGAATAAGTTACACTGCAGAGTGTTTACAGAAGACATGTAGACAGCACAAGGAACCTCCATGAGTAAGGATAGCTTCAGTATAGCTTTGTTAAGTACTTTTTAATTTTATGCACTTCATGCACTAGTGTATGACCTTTTATACAACAGCACTATTGTGTCAAAGTAAGAACAAGGACTGGAACAGAGCGTGCCTGAGTTTTTAAGATATATTGCCCCAAAGCCTGTGAGAGACTCATACAGAAATTTTTTCCTCTTAATACAGCTGATCTCTCTTCCTCTAGTAGAAGGGAAGAAGCAGTCAGACCAAGCTTTGAACTTCTCAGATTTTTTTCCTCTTAGTTTCTTTGCATGAAAATATTTCACACAGACCTACCTTTCATTTGTTAAGCGGAATATGTCAAACTTTGCTGCTTCTAAAGCTGATTCCAAGAAGAGTAGTTCATTAAATTAGAGCAGGGTAGATTTAGATCAGATGTTAGGGAGCAGTTCTTTACAGTGAGGGTGGTGAAGCACTGAAACAGGTTTCCCAAAGAGGTGGTCAGGGTTGATGGGGCTCTGAGCAACCTGATCTAGTTAAAGAAGTCCCTGCTCACTGTGGTGAGGTTAGACTAGATGGCCTTTAAAGGTCCCTTCAAGCACAATGCATTCTATGATGCCAGGGTGTGGCTCTCTACCCTTTAAAAAGTAATTCCTAGCAGTTTTATGTAACTAGTGGTGAGTCTCAAGCCCTTCAGAGCTAAACTCTTGACTCCCTAATGTTGGAAGCTCTGTTCCACAGCCTGGTCTAATGTAAAAAGTTGCTGCTTGATTTTGCAGATTCGAAATGTGGCGGCCAACCTCTGTGTGGACAGCAAACATGGAGCCACGGGGACTGAGCTGAGGCTAGACATCTGTGTGAAGGATGGTTCGGAACGGACGTGGTCACACGAACAGGTATTTTAACGGCAGAAAGAGAAAAGCAGAGTAAAATTGTTGCTTCTCTTTTCCAGTTTCTAAACATTTCTCTGAGTGTTTCTCCTTTTCCTAAGGTAAAGCAGGGTGTAGAAGTACTTTGTGAATGATAGCTGACCTTAATGGCTTTTACAAAGTACTCTTTAATATAATCTCAGAAATTCTCACCACCATGTGGCCTGTGTATATTCATCTTCATTTCCAAAGGGAATTGCAATGCCCAGGTAGATTTTTGGTACCCATTTCTCCTCCACTGCATCATGAAAACATGTCAATTTCAGTTCAGTTACCTGAAAATATTCAGTTCAGTTTCCTGAAAATATCATATCCTGGACTGCATCAAGAGGTGCGTGGCCAGCAGGTCAAGGGAGGTGATTCTCCCCCTCTACTCCACTCTCATGAGACCCCACCTGGAGTACTGCACCCAGTTCTGGAGCCCACAGTACAAGAAAGGTATGGACACGCTGGAGCGCATCCAGAGAAGGGCCACGAGGATGATCAGAGGGCTGGAGCACCTCTCCTATGAAGACAGACTAAGAGAGTTGGGGTTGTTCAGTCTGCAGGAAAGAAGGCCCCAAGGAGACCTTATTGTGGCCTTCCAGTATCTCAAGGGGGCTACAAGAAAGCTGGGGAGGGGATTTTTAGGATGCCAGGTAGTGATAGGACTAGAGGGAATGGATTAAAGCTAGAGATGGATCGATTCAGATTGGACGTTAGGAAGAAGTTCTTCCCCATGAGGGTGGTGAGACACTGGCACAGGTTGCCCAGAGAGGTGGTGGAAGCCCCATCCCTGAAGTTTTTAAGGCCAGGCTGGATGGGGCTCTGAGCAGCCTGATCTAGTGGGGCATGTCCCTGCCCATGGCGGAGGGGTTGAAACTAGATGATCTTTAAGGTCCCTTCCAACCCTGACAATTCTATGATTCTATGAAAATATCAAATATAGTAGCTGGGCTTGTAAAGCTCTAGTGTTTGCTTCTATGTGTTCATCTCAATAAGTGGTTGTATTTTAAACTAATATGTGGCATAAGCAAGATAAATAGCTAAAAGCTAGAGAGAAAGGGTTTCACGAAGACAAAGGATGATAAAGACTCAAAAAAGCTTTTAGCTATGTTGCTTAGGTAGAAAAATATTAGTTCTCAGGAGTATGGAGGAAAAGAGCTCCAATTTGTACTCATTGTGGCTTTGAGTGCCATAGGAAAGGGATCATGACCCACAGGCTGCGGCCCTGGCTAACGTGAGCAAAGAGAATCCGGATGAAAAGTACAACCTAACCATTTATTAACAATTTTAGTGAATGTGCCTTTCACAGGGGAAGGTCCCAGATTAGAAAAAATTCCCAATTGCTGAGGAGAAAAATTGACCTGGCAGTTACATATGGCACTTTGTAAAAGCTTAAAAGCTTAGGAGAGAGGAGTTCTGAGGGGATTTTGAAGTGCTAAGGTCAAGAAATCATTCTCCGAGGATAGTAAGAAATACAAGAGAAGAGGTGCAAGTGAATGAAACCGAGTATCTGAAGGATGATCACAATTTAGCTAAGTGCCAACATGGGCGAAAGAAAGTTGCTAAAGGAAGACTCCATCATATAGCGGCCAAAGACACAGCATAGTGGTAGGATGCTGAGACCAGCATCCAGTTTGTGAAAGACATCCAGTAATCCAAACAATTAATTGAAGGACGTTGTATGGTCTAGACTTGATCACCAGCAGGGCTTTCTGGTTTTGAATCTGCAAACCTGAAGAGCTCCAAACTCTCCTCAGGAAGGGAGGGAGTCCTAAGACTGCCAGAGATGAGAGAAAGCAGGGAAGAGAACTGGATGAAGAGGTGAGAGAATAAAAAAAAAAATAGCAAGAAAAGGAAAGAAAAGGGAGACTTGAAATATTGTTTGAAGGTGTAAATTCTTGTGAGGAAGGGGAAGGAGCACAAAGGAGAAGGATGGGGAGGAATCTGTGTTTTAGTGCATTGCGATGTTTGGGATCCGGCTCGATGTAAAGGTCTCGTTCTGTACTAATGACGAAAAGCGACTTTGCTGAAATAGGGTTAAGTTAGCCCGATAGGAATTCAACCAGCCAGCTCAACCAGATCACAGAACCAGAACGAGGAAGCCTGCAGGGACAGGATGACTTTGATTTCTGCTGGGGTGGAATAGCACGTTCCTTCCCACCACAGGCTGGCGCGGAAAACGCTGCCAGGGAACACTTCTCCCGCCAGACCCGTGCGGTCGCATTGGGAAGGGTCTGCCCAGACCCAAACCCAGCCGCTTCGTCCGGGCTGCCCGTCAGTGCGGCGATTTTTCAGGGCTGAGGAGGAGATGGGGAGCGGGGGGGGATGCTCGTTGCCTCCCGCGGCTGCTGCAAGTCTGCAGGCGGGCGGCAGAGGGCGGCTCTGGATCAGCGGAACGCAGCTAGTTAACCCCCAAAGCAATCCCTTTTCTTTTGTTTCCGCTCCTTTGGTGTTATTTTGAGGGGGGTTTGTGGTTTCGGTTTGAGTTTTTTGTTTGGTTGGGGAGGAGGGGGTTGTGTGTTTGTTTTGTGGTGGGTTTTTTCCTCTCAGGTGGTAACACTGCATTTAAAGCTTCTGGTTCTCGCCCATATGAACATAGTTGCCCATAGTTTATCCATAGTTTACAATGTCTGTATAGACATATCTAAATAGAATTAAATTCATTATAATAAATAAATGCACTTTCACTTCCTCCTAGGAAGGAGCTTTATTTTTTAAAACTAGGAAACAGAACTTCTATAAGAAAGATTATTTTGTGTTTTGGCTTGCCAGATAAGGAACTGGCCTAATATCTAGTACTGTATTGCTGGGCAAATTTTATTTGCATAATTTTAGTAGTGGTAATATTCTATTGGTTTCTGCATTAGTTTAGGATCGAAACAATACTAATTTTACACACGTATTTCCCACTCTAGTTGTGAGACACATTCATCTGGCTTACAGATTTCAAAGGCTGAGTTTGTGCAAAGCCCAGATTATAAAGATATCAGCTGAGAAAGAAAAGGAAAGGAAAGAAATTACAGAATCAAAGTAGCAGACCTGGCTGAAACTCATAATTTCTATCCCAGAGAAAAGGGGATGAAGCGTGTAAAATATTTCAACTGGAGAACTTTCACTTTTCTTCTAGAAGAGAAATTCTGAACATGTTCAATTTTAGAAGGTCAAAATGTTTTAGTGATGCAAGGCTTGGGTTGGTCAGGGGTTTTTTAGAAAAAAGATAAAAGTCTTTTCCACTTTTTTCCTCAAGTTTTCCTCAGGTCACAGTGGAGGGACTGTGTGCACTATGTTAGCCCTTGGGCTTCCACTACTCCAGCTGTAGCCCATGTCTCCATGCACTGTAGCTCCCCCGGAATCTGCAAGGCAAAATCTCAACTTCCAACCTGGCAAGCAAAATCTGTCACTATATAGGTGACAGTCAACAGAAGTGGAAAAAAAAAATCCCCCCAAACTGATTTAGGTTGGTATCTTTTGACGGAAATTTCTCAACAAGCTCTCCTCACTTGATCCCAAAGGCTGCCCAGTCAGCAACCAAAGTCTAGGGAAACATCTCAAACATTCAAGGAGAAAGGATGTGATCTTCCACTAGCACCCCAGTAAACCATGAAGATTAGCTTTGTGAAAAAGCATTCAGGCAGAACTGCCAAAAACCTGACCAACCTTCAGAGACCTCCTCATTATTGCTTCTACCTTCCTGAGTTTGGTGCCTTCGTGGTTTCTACAGAAGCCAGTGGAAACTAGCAGTACTAATGAAAATATATAGGATTTTATTATCATGTTTCAGATAGCATGGATTGATATTGAGATGGGTCTTGTAATTTCTGGTATAAATTGAGAGTTCTGTGGCATGCTATAGTACCTTGATGTGACCAGTGCAGTAGGCATTAGTGCTGATGCTAGATAGAGATGTGATCCTTTGTGCTGCTTGATTCATGTCATGTTAGCTCAGTGGTTTGAGCGCGGTGCTGGCAACAAGGACCAACACCGAGGTCACGGGTTTGATTCCCGCTCGGTCCCCATGTGTTGCCAGGTCTAGCCGAGAGGCGGCGTCCCTGCCCAAAACAGAGAGGTTGGACTAGATGATCTCTAAGGTCCCTTCCAGCCTATGCCATTCTGTGATTCTATGTTACCAGGGCAGCTGACAGTCTCAGCAGCCAGGCTGGGGGAGCACAGCCCTTCACAGCCTCCAGGATAAGAAAGAGACCTTCCCTGCCATGTCTGTACAAGCCCTGAGGGCAAACAGCAGACATAAGGTTCATGAGGTACTTGCAGGCTTTCTGGTGAACAGAAGGGTGGGAAGCAAGGATGAGTGTGGCTGTGGTTTCTGGAAACTTCCTCAAAATTAAAAATCAGAGGGGAAGGATAGGGGCAGAAGGATGGCACAGTGCAGCATTCTTCCATCTCTCTCTTCTCAGAGGTAACTTCTGGCTTTCCAGGGGAAACTGGATTGAGAACCATTAGCAACAGAAAATGAAAGACTTTGCTCTTCTCAAGTCCCCCAGACTAGCCAGGGAGTAGGTGGACAGGCATCATCTCTAACACGGCCCAGCAAGTAGCCATGCAGCCTGCACAGCTCTTTTGTCTCTGCTTGGAGGTATAGTTCAAGTCAGAGCCCGGTTCTAAAATGTGGCATTTCATTTTTGTGTGGGGCACAGGTTGTCCCCTCAAGTCCTAATACTGCAGACAAAGCACAATGCCAGCTGATGGACCCCAGCCAGGCAGCGAGTAATTGAGCAACGTGGAAAGCATTAATGGTATCAAAAGAGCCTTTGTCCTATAGGTGGTCCCAAGCCAATGGCTGTATCGGGCAATCCTTCTGCGGGCCCTGTGCCAATTACAAATGAAGCTGGAGAGCTGTATTTTCCCCGGTGCCTGCAGGGCTGGGCTGTGTGAAAAGCTAAAGCATGATAGCTGAGGGGTTGCCTCATTGCCAAGGCAGAGGATGGGGCTGTTTTACAGGCTCTGTGGTAGGAGAGAGGGCAGAGAAGGAGAATAATGAGCATCCGCTAAGCCAGGGCAGAGGGTTTCTTGGGTCCAAGAGGGAGCAGTGAACAGCAACCCTGTGGGCTGACAGTGAAAAAACAGTTTGCTGTCTGTTAATAACAAGTCTGGAAATTGAGGTGCAGCCTTGTTTCTAATCAACAAGCAAATGGGAATTAACGAAGGGGTACAAAAGGGATAATCCATTTCTCCTAAAATCTCATGCAGGTGGCTCCTAACAGCTTAGGTCAAAGGAACAACAAAATCCAAAGTGACAGGTGGTGGCAGCAAAGCAGAGCGTTATGTGCTCAGGACTTCAGTTAATAACATGTAGCATTTTTGCACATTATGTAGTGGAAAGATAATTTTTATATTGGTTGGATTCAGTGTTAACTAGAGAGAATTTCCTCTTCCAAACTGAGGTTTTGCACTAACAAGGTTGATTTTATGATAATATCATCAGGGAGAAGACATGCTCTTTGATTTAAAAATTAAATAAAACCCTGTTTTACAAAACAGGAGGAAAAAGAATCTGTGCTAGTCTGAATGGTGAGGTCTAATATTACACAGATCCTGAGTTTTAGTGGGAGGGAATAAAAAACCCTGTTACCATTTCTTGGCAATCTCCAGGTATGAAAAGCGCAAAGGGATAGCCTGGATAAGTATGATCTGATTTAAAGGCTAGATGAGTTCTTTTGGGTGTACTGGTGCATTCAGTGGCGTAGTAGTCCTCGGGCTAAGGTCCAGAGAGCAGCAGGAGCTGGCCCCTCAGCTCACCAGTCATGCACAGAATGAGAAATGTGGAGAACCACCCACTGGGAAAAATGAGGAAGGTCCTACAAGAGGATCCCTCTGTTGTAGTAGTGATGAGAGCGAGAATACCCAAGAACCACTGTTCCACACCATTCCTCTAGGTATTTGTTATTCATCATTTTAAACTCTGGTTTTATTATGTAGAAAGGTAAGGGGTAAGAGAAAGAAAATGGCTTTTGTTCTATTTTCCTTAAAGGAAAATTATCTCAGGCTTCTCTTTTTCTAAAGAAACAGTAGTGTAGCTTTTCTCTGTACCAAATATTGCTTCTGTCTTTGCTTGTGAAATGTAAGTCATCTTTGTAGGCAGTCCATGATGCTGCTTCCAAGAAACATGAAGAAAAGTGGAAAAAGACTCAACCTTTGAAAGGCAGAAATTGCTTTGAAAATGAAGTTAAAGTTGTCCACTGAATTGTACTGCAGATAAATGTAAAATGCACTCTTGGAGAAAGAAGAAATAAGCAGGACAGAGGGACAGATTGAGAAAATGCTATGTAGAAAACCTATAATACAGAACTAAATAGGGAGCAACAGCAGCTAACAAAAAGAACAAGGGTTTACAATAAGGCACATGACAAAAAGGCAAATATTCTGATATAAGGCTTTGCTTTGTGCCTGCAGGTTAAGGGAAACACTAACACTTCTCACGTGGCTTTTGGAGGACGGTACTATATTGAAAATGCAGCATTTTCAAAAGATTTATCTTTTAGCAAGAAGATAGCTGTCACAGTGAAAGGGTTAAAATGTGGGAGCTGCAGCAGAAGTGTTCAGGATCAGACCCATGCAACATTGAGCTTGGGGTTGTAGATGCTGGTTCTATGAGGGAATGTACACAGGGCAGGGAGCTGGGTGCTCGACAGGGGCCCAAAGGACCCTGAGGTGAGGGAGCTGCGGTGCTGGAGGCAGTCTGAGCACAGAGTGGGGAACTGCTTCTCCAGATAACGAGCCTGCATGCAGCTCCACATGAACCGTCACAGCTATGCAGAGTTTCCACTAGCAAAGTTTAAAGAGAACTTCACTTTCTCAATGTTATGTTTCGGTTTATACTATGGAAAATCAAAAGGCACACAGAAAGCCAAAGAATAGCACTGACACACACAAAAAAAGTAAAAACAAAAGCAAAAACCTCACAGCTCTCAGCAGAGCTCCTAGGTAGTAATTTATAACCTGCAACTTGTTTTCTGCAAGGATTGGACCATGGGAAAGGAAAATCACTCTGCATCTTTAAATTTGGTGCTGTCAGACCTGTCATATTCATCTGATGATTGGAAGACTGCAGTGTCACAGCATCATTTCAAACAGCTGGCGTCTAATTGAGAAGGATTTCTCTGTTAACCATGAGCCACCTCGATTCCTCTCAAGCAGAAAGAAAAAGAGCTTTAAAAAGGTGCCTGCAGCTCACGGATTTTGCTGTAGAAAGATGAAAATCATTTAATGTGTGTTGTTTGGTGGGAAAAAAAAAGATAGTCCAGCGATGCTAACGGTGTCCCATATAAACAGAAGGAAACCATTCAGAAAACATGGGAAAGATACTATGATGGGAAGATCTCTCTAGGCATCTTCTTCTGACCCAAATAAGAGCTAGAGGAACATCACTGGCAGAGGCTTGCTAAGTTCTAGGTCGCTGTGGTCCTCCTGCATGTGAGTGTTGCTTTAACTGGGGTAACTAAAGGCTTTCATACAGCATATCACCTCTCCTCTCCACAGTACTGCGTTGCCAGAGATTTTTTTCTTTCCCTGCTATCGGGATTGTGCCTTCCTGGAGTATATTTCATGTTGCTGCTGATGTGCTTTAGTTGAGGCAGTTGACATCAGGATCTCATTAAACCAGCAGCTGGGATGTGCCACGCAGGAGAACGTTGCATGAAGCTTTGTGTGTAGCTTTAAACATTTTTCACTAAGTAATATATCATTGCATCACCTGATTCTTTTTCTAGCTCTTCACCTTTGGCTGGAGAGAGGACATCCGCCCCGGGGAGCCACTTCACACCAGGAAGTTCTGCTTCGATGCCGTTTCTCACAGCAGCCCCGTCACACTGTATGACTGTCACGGGATGAAGGGAAACCAGCACTGGAGCTATAGGAAGGTTGGAGTCATTGTGGGGCATCTCAGAGGTTCAGAATGTCTTGAAGGCTAAATTCAGCTTAGCACAGGCTTGTGTTTTCCCATTGGGGTTTTTTGTGTTTGGTGGTGGTTTTTTTAGATCCACCTCGTCTTATTCCAAATTAATTTTGTGGTAATCTCTCTAGAGTATGTTCCTTTTGAGCGTTCAGCTATTTAGGTCAAATTTAAATGAAAATGGATTTGATCCAGCTCAGCGGGTGTCTGTGTTGGATCTGTTCCCTGAAAGGTGTTTTACCATTCTGGCACTTCAAGATGCTTGTGTCATTTTAACAGAGGCACTGTTGGAAATATTTTCATCCAATGTGACAGCAGCAAGAAATGCTGCTCATGAGTTAAATATTATTATTTGACTACATTTTAAAGATTACAAATCTCCCTTAAAAAAAATCCAGACCAACATTAAAACCACTGCTGTAAGCCCAAAGAAGACCAGAGTTTATAAACTAAAGATAAGCAGCTTAGACACTACTTTGATCTGCTAAGTTTCAGCCCATTTTTATAAATCACTGGAAACAAGAGGTCAAGCTAGAAACTGTCAGAGTCTCACTTAGGGCAAAAAGTCCTGGTAGTGCTACTGAGTTGTTGTTAGGGTTTTTTAAATGGTTAATCAGCAAGCTGCCTTGATTAAGGAATCCACTATTAAACTCTGTATTCCATGCAGGACATGGACATAAATTTCTCTGAAGTGCTGAGGATTCCTCTCACACATCCCACGCTTTTCTTAGACCACTGTGCCTTGCCCACCACCTTGCTTAAGCTGATGCCAGGAATTGGTCTTTGCCAGACAAATCTCAATACTGTTCTCTAATTTGAAATGTAGAAAACTAATTCAAAACCATTAAAAATAAGCTTGCCCTGACACTTTTCCCGAGTTTCTACTTATTAGCCTGTGTCTTTTTACCCTATATGTGTTTCAATTGGAGATCCACCACAAGATTTTCCAGATGTGTAATCCCTTTGACACTGAGGTATTAGCAGTACTAAAGTTAAAATGTATGGGCCAGATATTTAGAAGATATAAATTGTCGTGGCTGTTTTGCTGCATATCTGGCTTTATAATGCCATAATAATACCTTCTTGCTTCAAAACCCTTTTGATTTATCTTTTTGACTACCCAAGCTGCAAGAAAGAAGCTTTTATGTCTTTAGCACTTCATTGGTGCTTAATGTAGCTGGTCCATAAGATAAAATGCAGGTTTGGAGCTGCCCTCTCTATAAGGCTCATCACCTTTGATGAGGACAGAACACAGCAGATAACTGAAAAAAAATGACATTTGAAGAAATACATAGTGTGAGTTCTATTAAATTCTCTGCACAGCTTCATTTTTAATTTCCAAAAGGCTGACAGGGCTCATGTAAAAATTCTCAGTGCAAGGCAGGCTTTTCCATCTCAGCAAGAAACACCACAAAATTTTGTTTTGATGGAAGTACTGACACAGTCTTAACAGTAATAGCAACCTGGCAGCAAGAAACTGCATTGGAATCATAGAATTATGTATACATGCTTTTCTTTAGGCTTAGTTTTATTTTAGCTACACAATAAGTAGGTTTTTATTGTTTCACATAGTCTGTTTCCTCAGAAACGGGACATATTTACATTAGAGATTTTTTGGTGGTACAGCTATATCTCCAAAATTCTAATGATATAATCATTATCTAGTTTTGAAAGCATCTTGGCAATAGGATTTACAGTGTTTCCCTCTCCCCCCAAAAAAATAAAGACAAAACAAAAAAACCTGTAAAAAGGATGTTATACTGGTTTGTAACTGTTCTAGAGCCCCTTACTTAGACGATGGTACGCTACTAAAATTGCACCCTAAATAAATAAGATTGATAGACTGGTTAAGCAAGAAGTGCCTCCTTTTAAAAAACAGAGAGCAGGTGAGCAACTCTGGTCTGTTCTTTGCTCCATTTACAGATTCTGTAGCTTCCTAATGGTCACATATCCATCCTGACAATAATTCTTCACAAGTTTTAGGAAAAATTACCTTATTTGTCAGTATCTTATGCCTAATACAAAACGTTTCTTACCATGCTGTCACACTGTTCCTGTAAAACTAGAAGATAAGAGGTTTCTATTCTTTTAAGGATGAGTCCCTTCTCACGATCACTTGCATCCTTGAGCCTCTGGTAAGAATTAGGGCTGTGAAGTGATTACAAAGTGCTGCAAACCCAGTTTGAAGCCAGACACTGTTTTAAGATTCCATATTCTTACAGCATGGAAACCCTAACAACCTGTATTTGGATACTGGAAAATAAAAACAGCTTAAATATTTTAGTGGCAAGTAGAATACATTAATATTTTACTTTGAGCAAGGAGTGCTC